GTGATATTCAACAATCGTAATACTTTTGTATTTGTTATTGTGACACTGATTTTAATATGAATGTAGAGTTGTATACTTAGTTAAATATTTTATTATTTAAAAGTATAGACTCTTGGTCAGAGTGTTTTAACCCAATGTCTTTATAGTTAGTATATCTTTTATGGGTTGATATACTTAATTCACTATAAACAATGCTCTGATACCAATCTGTCACACCCAAAAACCAAGAACGGCGGAAACGTTCTGGGGCGGAGGACGTGATGTACAGTATCACAACATAGTATAATAGTAAACAAGTAAACAACATCATCCATTGCATTAAATATATAATGTTAATACCAGTGTGTTCTGAGATAATATTATTTTTAAGCAACACTTTATACATTGTAGCATACACATTCTGCTATAATACACTCTCGTTCTCTATGTTTTCTTCCTTCTCCACATTAATGTTAGCCTCTTCAAAGCCTAAATCCACAAAGAAAACATAATCAAGTTTCAAAAATTAAAAAATTCAATGTATTCTAAAAGAATAAAAGCTATAAATTCTGACAGAATGTATTAAAGACTATAAAGTTTGACAGAATATACTAAAAAATAAAAACTATAAATTCTGACAGAATGTAATAGAGATTATAAAGTCAACCATAAAGTATCACAAATATAATGTTAATACAAGTATGTTCTGTAGTATTTAAGACACCAAAACATGAATCAAAATATAAGATGAGTCTTGTATGCGCTCCATCTTCTCAAAAGCTGGCATTGGTACCTGTCTACTGATGATCTGAGAATACAAGTTATTTTGAAAGCGAGTATCAACATTAAAGTTGGTGAGTTCATAAGTATTTAGTGTCTATGTTTGTATCAAAATGTTTGAAACAGTGTTTGAAGTACGAGTTTGTAAACGTTTGTAGTAAAAGTATTTGAATGTTTGTAAGTGTTTGTAAAAGTTTGTAACTCCTAGAAAATCCTATATTTTCTACTAAAAGTAGCCTTCTACCGAGGCACAACTATTTTGTATGTTTGTTTCTTGTAAAAGTGTGTAATTTCCCCAAGTGTAACTATATTTATCAAAATATAGTTTGTACATTAATGTTTAGGGTGAAGTGATCACCAAATATATGTAACGGGTAAATTAATGCAGTACTGTAGTGTTGTATTATAGGAACTACTGTTGTACTAGCTACCTTCAACCGGATTTATATCAAGGTATTATGTGATTAATTGTACCATACTATCGACTAAAAAACACGACAATGTAAGTCGTCAAAAGGTATGACATTTGGCACCCGAAGACCTGCAGGTCCCGCTGTAGCTAGCAGCAAATGTAGGATAGTCAATCCAGTATAGATCTATACGCAAACTCACGCTCTCCCTCCAGGAGATTCTAGTTACAACTCGGGCCATGACAATGAAGGCATGCTCCGATACAGTGGATCACATTTATGTTAAAGTATACGTGTATATGTAATGTATTGTTTCTCATCATAGTATCGTTGTATATGCTCTCATCATAGTATAATTGTATATGTTCTCATCTTAGTATAGTTGTATATGTTCTCATAGTAATAAGTAATGACTCATGAATGAACTGACTCTTGTATGCTTCATTGGACTAGAAGTAGTAAGTAGTATAACCCTAAACTATACCTATTATAGTTTATTAGAAGACTTGTTTGTATGACTAAATGTACTGAACTCAGATAAAAGTCTTTATATCTATACATACATACATATATATATATATATATACATAATATATAACTAAGGATTCAATGACACTCGGACAAACAACCGGGTACTTTAAGACCACAACCAAACAAGGACAGGAAGTAAAGTGGGTTATCTCTCTTAAGTCCTTCAAACCTTATTTATATAACTATATATGTAGTAGACATGGTTTTAACAATATATACGTTTGAAAACTATAAAGGAAAGGTTTAGTATACAAAAGTGAATTTCATAAAGAGTTTGACATGTAAATTAGTTTGATAAACAGTTTGAAGTCATTTGCTTGGTAAAACAGTTTAAAGTATGAAAAATCCATTTGTATGCTAGTTATTAATCACATGTGATTGATCTAATAACTAACATGGTTCAACTTGTATTCCCCCCCCCCCCTATAAAGCATTTAAAAACATTTAAAAGCATTTAAAAGGTTAATTAAGGGGTATGAACTCACCTGTCTGTGAATAAGTCGAATGTAAGATCGATATAGGAAGTTGAGTGTCAATTGAAGACTTGAGCACAAACGAATCCTATTAACCATATAATGACATATATATATATATATATATATATATATATATATATATATATATATATATATATATATATATATATATATATATATATATATATATATATATATATATGTATATGTATATGTGTGTGTGTATGTATGTATACAATTAGTGTATGAAATAACTAATTATTGATTTGGAACCACCTTAGGGACTAGTAAACAGTTATTATGAAGTCTTACAACCATATAGGATTGTATATGAGTGGCATATGACTATACAAAGGAGTGTATGGTCAAAATGCACAACAAATGTGTGTGTGCGGCCAGGGTGTGCGGCCAGGAGGTGTGTGCGACCGCACACTCCTTATGGAATGTATCAAAACGTGATTTTTAGCTATAAGGGACATCTAGGAAGGTTTCATTCTTCGTGCCTTAGCCTTAAATGAAGTTTTTTGCCATTTTAGGACCTAAAAAGGGTGTGTGCGGCCACCATGGGGGTGTGTGCGTCCACGCACACTTGAAGATCATACAAAATGATGTTTTTCATGTATAATTTCAAGTGTTCTTAGCATATAACTAGTTGTGATAAGTGTATACACATTATAGAGGCTTGAAAGGGGTGATTATGGTCCAAAACATAATGTGTGTTCTTGGTGTTCTTGAAGATCTAACACCAAAATGTGTTTTTCATGGATCATAGTAGGGAAGAAGGGTAGATAATTTCAAGTATCAACTATTCAAAGGAAGAATTACTTACTTTTATGAAAATCAAGATGAAGATGTGGATGGTACTTGAGAGAATCTCGAGTTCTAGCCTTGAAGGAGTGGAAAAGTGATCAAAATTGGCTAAGTGTTCTATTTATATGAAGGAGTGTGGCTGAAATGGGTGTGTGGTCGCCGCACACACATGTGTGTGGCCGCACACTCCATATGTTGGAGTGTTTGGCCCGGTTTTGATTGATATGCATCGAGTTAACCCATTTCTAAGCTCCTACCTTGATTGTATTACGTTTAGAACACTCCAATAGACTCTAAACAGTGCTACAAGATAACAAAATGAGTATAACTTTGATAGAATTGATATATTGAACATGAAAATTTTCGGTTGTCACAAGTTGTATATGTGGATGATGTTTTAATAACCGGACCAAATGTAAGTAAAATACAAGAAGTTAAAGATCAATTGCATGCAGCTTTTACAATAAAGGATTTAGGAGAAGTAAGCTATTTCCTTGGAGTAGAATTGTTAAGAACAGAAGAAGGACTTTATGTCAACCAGAGAAAATATATAATGGATATATTGAATGATACTGGTATGACTGGACTCAAACTCACAAAAACACCTGTTATGAAAAATTTGTAGTTGTGTTCAGATAATGGAAAAATATTACAAGAACCAGAAAAATACAGAAGATTAATTGGAAGATTGTTATATCTAAACTTCACAAGACCAAATATCAGTTATGCTATGCAACAATTGACTTAATTTCTTCATTCACCAACTGATATCCATTGGAAAGTTGCTTTGTATGTGTTAAAATATCTTAAAGGGTGTCATTATAAAGGTTTATTTTTTCCAAAGGATTCATCACCTTTAACTATTACTGCCTATAGTGATTCAGATTGGGCATCTTGCACTGATACTAGAAGATCACTATCAGGATATTACATATTTCTTGGTTCTTCACTTGTATCTTGGAAGACAAAGAAACAAAAGACTGTTTCGTGATCATCTTGTGAAGCAGAGTATAGAAGTTTAGTTGCAACTGTTTGTGAACTTTTATGGATAAGCTTCATCTTAAGAGATTTGAAGGTAAAATTGAAGATTTATGTATCTCTATGGTGTGACAACAAATCAGCTATACATATCACTGAAAATCCAATCTTTCATGAAAGAAGTAAGCATCTCGATATTGATTGTCATTTAGTTCGAGATCAATTCAAACTTGGTTTTGTAATGCCTCGACACATCCCAACTAATCAACAACTCGCAGATATCTTCACAAAAGGACTTTGTAGTCAGCAATTTCAATATCTTCTTTCCAAGATGAACCTTAATGATATTCATCAATGTCCATCTTGAGGGGAGGATGTGAAATTATAAATTCAAAGTCAATAGAGGGATACTTTTGTAAATATTTATAGTTAGAGGTAGCTATATGTAAATAGTTAGAGTTGGTAATTTCCGTTGTATTCTTCTTTGTATATATTCAGCTCATGAAGTTCAATATGAATATGATGAACATCTTATCATCGTCTACAACTTTCTCTCTCTAAATTCTTACAATGTTGAAAGAATCTAGATTTGAGCCCCAAACTAGCTTTTATAGGGGCTAAAATATGGAGCGGATTTCTTGTAAATGCAAGAAATGAATAACTAATAATAAATAAATGTAGAGTGGTCGAATGGTTATGACTATGATTCTTTCTTGTAAATGCAAGAAATGAGTAACTAATAATAAATAAATATAGAGTGGTCGAATGGTTATGACTATGATTCTTGCTTCCATGTATTTGTTATGTCATCATGCATAAGATCTCCATCCTATCATAGGTTGGTGTACTATGTTCTAAAAACATGTGTACTTTGGGATCATAGTTTTTTTTTCATGTTTTCTTCACCTTGTTTAACTTTCATATTTTAATCAAACCAAGACAAATAATCGATATGCGACAAGAAAAAGTGAGCAAAAACTTATTCGGGAAAAAATATAAGTCAAGTAGAATTATGTAACTAAGAAAAAACATGTATCAATACAAATAGTCAAAAAAATGTTACCAGAAACCCTACTTTGTGGGCCAAAACAAAAACTTTAAAAGGGTAAAATGATTATTTTGGAAAATATTTACAAAATATATTAATTCAACAAAACAAAAAATAAAAGGCGATGTCATTCAACATGTTGTCAAAAAGTATGATAAGATATGTAAACTCTTATCAACCAAAATTCTAGGAAAGTGTCATATGGTGACATCTTCAGGGTAACTTCCTAGCACACTCAAGAAAGTAGCAAACTCCTGCCAAAAAGAGCAACATTTTGAGATCAATAATTCATGGCGATAAAAAAGTGAAGTCATAATTATTATGTTAAATTTATATTTAAAAAAAATGAAACCTTAAGATGCGAAAGAGCATTTTGGGCTCTTTGGTCTGCCATGGATGCTTGGAAGTCAACATAGAAAAGGTAAGGGAAAGACCTATATAAGAATTTTAATTTGGAGTTAAAAACAATAAAATATAAGTTGAAAAAAATGAATAGTAAAACAAAACAAAAGAGTCGACTAAAAAAAATTGCATATACACAATAGGACGATACAGATTGTACTGTGTTTGGACTGAGACGGATGTCAATAGGATAAAAATAGTGATTTTTTGTCCCATCAAAAAATGTGAAACAAGATGGGAAAGCGACTCAACTCTCGAGCTCTTGTCTTTGCAAAAAGACGAAAATGTCCTCTTCATCATCATCATCATCATCATCGAAAATAGCCCTAGAAAGTTTATCCAGTCTCGTCCAGTTATGTCTCATCCCATGTGACACATGGGATAGGACACGATATGACTGCACGAGACTGGATAAGCTTTTTAGGGCTATTTTCGATGATGATGATGATGATGATGAGGGCATTTTCGTCTTTTTGCAAAGACAAGAGCTCGAGAGTTGTGTCTCTTTCCCATCTTGTTTCACATTTTTGGATGGGACAAAAAATCACTATTTTTATCCTATTGATATCAGTCTCAGTCCAATACATGTGAAACACAGTGCAGACTGTCTTGTCATGTCACACGTGTTTTACACCTTACATACCCTGGGAATCCATTGGTGCTTTCGGTATGTGTAGGTAAAGCACGTCTCTGAAGAGGGCGGCTTTCAATCTGTTTTAAAATAAATTAAAATTTGAAAAATCAGCTACATTTATAATATAAAGAAAAATTAAAAAAGAAAAAAACTTGCCTTGGTGAGATTAATTTGTCTCATAGCAAACACTGCAAGTGCCTTGAAAAGCATCCCGGGACCCTCGTCAAGTGAGAAGACGATACTTGTCTGAAACAATAAATTCATATATTTACATGTGACTAAATACAAAAGAAAAAAAATAAAACAATATTAAGGACCTGTTTCTTTTTTCTTTTTCTTTTTTTAATAAAAACAAACCTTGAATGGTCTATCAGTACGTGGAATTATAGGTTCCCTTGCCAACATTAAGAATCGAGTCACATTATCAGAATAATCCTGAAAAAAAAATGAAAAAAATAAAATCATACAAGCGTGATTTACAATTAAAATATAATTTATAATCAATGACCATTTATGGTTTTGTGGACTTATGTATAATTAGACACCAAAATGAAATTATACTGACAAATAAACAAAAAAATGTTATTTATACTAATATTTTTTCGTTAATCCTCCTTAATAGATGAAGGTTTTTTTGCCACATGTCATCTTCTCATTCATTTGGACACATGGCATTTTCTAGAATTTTTGAATTTTTTATTTTCCACTTGTCTTTTTATTGTATTTTTCATTTTATTAAATTAAAATTCCACATGTAATATGTAAGGTAATATATGTAAGGTATTTATTAGAAAATATTTATATATGTATTGTATTTAATGTATTAAAGCCTCATTAATTTTAATAATTTAATTTTTTTTTCATTTTTCTTATAAATTCAAACTTCTCAAATTGTTAAATTTTTATATTTATTTTTTTTTAAATAAACCCATGTAATACATGGGTCTCACACCTAGTTTAAAATATAACACTAAAATACATTCCATAATACATATACAATATATTTATATATAGTTATCAGACAATCGAACAAAATTATTTTATTACTTTAAAAGATTGTTTACTAAAATAAAAACTTTAACCATGAAATCTCAAAACAAAATTATACTTAAAATAAATGCTTTTTACGTTACATTTGGAAGATAACAAAATACTATTTAATTAAACTTCCGAAAAATTTAAGAACATTGCTGTTACTGAATGTTATGTAAATAGAATTAAACTTATAACGGTACTATAAATATAATAATCTTTCATTCCACGAAGGAATGAAAAATCAGGCAAGGAATCACATTCCGTTGAGGAATGGAATGCTTCATTCCATTCCTGTGTAATGCTCAATTCCATTCCAGGTTTGATGAGATGATTACCTGAATATCTTGAACAAGCAGATTCAATCCATAAATCTTGGCAGCAGCAGCACTAGCTACTGCCCCAGTATCTTCAAGTTCATGTAGAGCAACATGCTGACAAAGAAAGAAGGAAAACATTAAATAAAATATTAGTAAATAATTATTCAACTATAATTTATAATGAAGTTTCTATAAATAAATAAATAAATAAATACAGAAAGCATTAAAAGTTTAAAACATGGACATGCTTTTACAGTTACACAATTTATATTATATCCCACTAGGTCTAAACTCTATGCACACTTATAAAATGTAGAAAAAATTACATAAATGGTCCCTGTGGTTTACCAAAGGTCACAAACTCAGTCCTTGCTATTTTTTTTTGACGAATATCATCCCTGCGGTTTCCAAAACTTTCATGGATGGTCCTTTTTGCTAACACCGTTAGTTTTCTTCCGTTAGTGTGAGGGTATAACTATAATTTGGTGAAAAGACCAAATTACCCTCACACTAATAGACAAAAACTAATGGTGTTAGCAAAAAGGACCATCCAAGCAAGTTTTGGAAACAACAGGGACGATATTCGTCAAAAAAAATTTAGCAAGGACTGAGTTTGTGACCTTTGGTAAACCACAGGTACCATTTATGTAATTTTGTCTAAAATGTATTTACATGTTGCAGTGGAGATGATTAGATAGTATCCAGAGTTTTAAGAAAAATTGTTCCTTTTATTAGTGAACTGAAGTCATAATAATACAACTCAAATTTTTCATATTATATTTTTCGGATCAAATTCAAGAAACAACAACCTAATTTCATTCATTTGTTTATTATAGCATCCTACTTTCATTTCTATCGATCACAGAATTGTACTTTATAAAAATAAATAAATAAATACCTAATTATACTATAATTGAAAATAGGATGCTATAATATACACATAAATGAAAGTACATTGCTATTTTTTTCATTCAGATTTTTGTTTTCAGAGCATAGTAACATATAGTACCTTTGCAGCCCCAGCAGTATCATCCACAGCTTCTCTAACTATCCCTAATCTTGTTAATGTGTTCTCACATTGTGCAAGAGCCTAAAGAAGCATAGATATACACATTATTATTATTAGTAGTAGTAGTAGTATTTTAAAATAACAAATTATATATATAAATAAAATATACCTGAGGATGGCTAAGAACCCTTTTGAGATCTTCAATTTTAACACCATGATTAGCAAGCAAACAATGGCGAATAGCAAGTTTGACTTCACCAACAATGTGCAATCTGTGTCTAAGTAAGAGATCATAATTCCTATGAATGCTTCCACCTAAGGAATTTTCAATGGGTAAAACTGCTCGATCCACTAGCCACCTCTCAACAGCCTGAAGTGTTTAAATAAAACAAAAAGTTTAAAAGATTTGCAAAATTGGTCCTTGTGTTTAGCAAAAAGATATTCAAGGAATGGCCTTATGGCCATGTTTCATTGTGGATTTGGTCCCTTACCAAAATGAAATGACTAATTTACAGTTAGGACAAATGGCAACACACTTGCAAAATGGAAGGAAAAAATAAATAATAGCAAATTTGTAATATAGTTAGGACATAATGGGAAATTCTCATTTCCTTAGCCGAAAAGAGACACCCATGTATAACTTACCGAGTTAAATGAGGTTTTTTTTTTTTTTGATGTATTGATCTTAAAGGGTTAAGCACTTAAGCTCGACAATTATACAATGTTGTTCGTTTTTTACTTAATCTAAACAAAATGACTTCACGGGTTAAGCCAAAAAGCCTTGGTTAATGTGTTAAGAGTTCAGACCCTAATATTTTATCTATTTGCCCTTTTTTTTTGTTCCTTTCAACTCCTCTCACGTTAAAATGATGAATATTGTGAAATTTGTTTTTGAAATGAAGGATAAAATGGTTGTTTAGTCTCATTCAAACGGATTATTCGGTCTAGAAAAGAAACAAGGTAACACCTTATCCAGACAAACATTTTATCCATTCACCCCCTTGATGCTTAAAAATATTTGCGAAAATGATGCCACTTGAGAAATAGAAGTAAAAGATAAAGAGAAAACTTCAAAAAATGGTCCCTCCCACCAAAGAAATCGCAATGCCTTCTCTAACTGATGATCGGCATGTAGAACAACAAAACTAAAGATGCATAATTTTTGAATATATCAACATTGTGAATCTTGTTCTCGGAAAGATCCTTCTCTTTTATCTTCTTTAACTGATAAGGAATAAAGATTTTTTTGTCTGTTGGATAAAACTTGTATCCAATTATAAAGGATTCAAGATAAGAGGAAGCATCCTCCATTATAGCAACCTCAGCAGCCTTTGATGTCTCTGAAATTCCCCAATCCAAAATGGCATTAAGATTTTGAGTAAATTACACGAATGGTCCCTATGGTTTAGGGTAATTTGCACGTTTGGTCCCTAACTTATTTTTTTAACTCGGAAGGTCCCTATTGTTTGTTTTTGTTACATGCTTGGTCCCTATCTTACCTAAAAAGACTATTTTGCCCCTGATTTTTTAATTTATTTAAATGAACACACTCTCAACCCTACTCCCCTCACCTTACCCTACATATCCCATCATTTTTCCATATTCAAATAATAGTCTTTTTAGGTAAGACAGGGACCAAGCGCGTAACAAAAACAAATAGAAAGGACCAAACGCGTAACAAAAACAAACAGTAGGGACCTTCCGAGTTAAAAAAGTAAATTAGGGACCAAACGTGCAAATTACCCCAAATCATAGGGACCATTCGTGTAATTTACTCTAAGATTTTTTTTTTTTTTTTTTTTTTGAGAGAGAGAGAGAGAGAGATCTACGGTGACAGGACGGGGGAGGGGAGGGAAGTTAAAAGATGGTGGGTTTGAGGTTAGGACAACATGCTAATAAATAGATAAATGTAAGGATAAAATGGTCCATTTATAGGAATTTAACAAAGTAAAAGTAACGATGTCAAAGTTAGGGACCAAAACCGCAAGATAGCCTTCTAAAAAGGACTACATTTGCAAATTAAAAACTTTTTGGACTCTATCCAAAGAAAACAACCACATGGAGGGCCAAAAGGTCATTTTATCACATTTAACAAATAAAAACAAACAGATGTTAAAGTCGGAGACCAAAACCACACCGCAAAATTGTCAAAAGGGCATTTTTTGCAAGTTGACAAGTTGAACACTTTTTGGACTCCATCCAAAGAAAAGCAAAACCACTAGGACCATTTTTGCAGTTTTCTAATGATGGCAGCTTTGTAGAAAGTTGAGTATTGATAGGAAAAATCTCATTTCCTTGACTTTCTCCATTAAGTCATTCTTTTTGCATTAAGTAAAAAAGAAACACTCATATAATTTATCAGATTAAGTCATGTCCCCATTATGTCAAAAATAAATAGCACCTTAGCGATAAACCTGTAATGCTAAGGATTATGCAATCAGTTTCATCATGCCCCTTACATCCAATCTTATTGTAGTTCACTTTGGATGCTAAGTTTGTTCTTTTAAGATTTATAAAATGCAAATTCTCAGTAAAATCCCCATACATAAAAGTTCTAATTATAGATTTAAAACTTGGTATAATTGAGTGGCATAAATAGCTATGTTACTTTCTATGTTTATATGTTTATTTGCACACAACACTATCTACTGTACTTTTTATTAAAGCTATTCTCCTCACAAATAAGAATCAACCTGAATCCTAAATAGCTACTGCCCATGATTGAAGAAACAGAATTGCAATTTCTGGAATTAATGGTTGAATGTTCAGTATTTTATCACAGAGTTTCAAACCTAATATGCTCTATCCATTAATTCAAATTATATGCAAGAAGTTACGTGGGAATAGGATTCTATATAAACAAGATCAAATGTAGGAATCAAGCCTATAATTAAAAAAAAATGGCTCAATTAAATGATATACAAACCTCGAATGCTGTCTCAAATTGTTCACAAGGAACTGCTTCACAGTTAGGGTAAGCTTTTTCTGCAGCAGATTCACTATAAGCCCCAGGAACACCCTGTCAAAATACCATAAAACTTCAATAAAACAACAAGAGTAACCTCGATTTCATTTCAGCATTAATGTTTGTGCTTCTTCAATGATGCGATAACTTGTTTTATAAAGCATAAAATCAATCGATGTCTCCGAATGTATAAAAACATACACCATGGATTTTACACAAGATAAGATGAAAACAATAATTTCCCAAAATGAGATAACTAAACCTGATAAGCAACGCGAATTCGAGAACCCTCAGATGGTATTCCAGTCAGATCGGTAGACGTTAGAGGCCCTAAAAATTAGCAAAAAGTAAACTGAATCACAACATAAATTCGCAAATGCAGTGAAGATTACAGAAGGAAATGATGAGAGAAGATAGATTAGGGAAAATGTTGGGTTTTACTTGGAAGAGAAGTGCTTTTTCCTTCGCCGGTGCCTCCTTGAATGGAGGATGATGTGGAGGCGGAGAGTGAAATGGGAAATCGCCGGAATTTGAGTTGGGATGGGAGCTTTTGAATAGAAGTGGAGGTGATAGGGTGGTTATGAGGCGGGATGATAGGGGATCGAGATATGGTGGCCGCCATGTTTGTTGCTGGGAAGGCTGGAGACCACTGGAACGCAGCACCGGTGTGATGAATGGAGAAATTTTACAAAAGAAAAGGAAATATACTTTTAATAATTAAATTTTTATGCACGTTTATTTTTAGATGTTTTATAAAAGTTCCTTTTAAAAAAATAAAACAAGCGTCATATTTCATATTTATGTTATTTTATCGTTACAACCAATGTTTGAGGGTTGATATTACGTTATTTAGAATTATAATTATGGTTACAAATACAAAAAAACAATAATAATATTATAATATTGATTTACATATTTAATAAAATGGATTAATTAGCAAAAACAATAAATCAATAATTATACAATATCATTAAAGAGATTAAAATGAAAATGTTATTATGACAAAGATAGAAAGTAATAAAAAGAATTAGTTGATAATCAATAAGTGGATGAAAGGATGAAAGAGTAAAAATAATAGGTGCCATAATCGTATTGATTGATTTAATTAATATAAATTTAGCCAAAATTTTTAATTATTTTTTTTAAATATAAACAAACATTATTTTTTTATAGCAAATAACTTCTCGCAGGTATGTAAAACCTATGAATTTAGCACCTCGGCCTGTGATTTAAAGTTGTGGACTACCATTTGATCCAATTTCGGCTCATGGCCTGATAAGAATGAATAATTTTCGCAAAAAGAAAAAATAAAAAATATAATTAGAATCGCAGTTGCTTGACAAGTTTAGCACCTTAACTTTAAGGGTATGTTTGGGTTAGTTTTTTTTTTTAAGTGAAAAGTGATTTTAAAAAAAAAAGTGCTTATTAGTTTATAGTTTTTAGGAAAAATTGATTTTAAAAAGTATTTGAATGCGAAAAGCTGATTTTTCAGGAGTAAAATGATTAAAAAGCTAGAATTTTCCATCTTTTTGAAAGCTTTACTTTTTCCTATTTAAATAGTTGTTTTAAAAAACGCTTTTTAAATAGACAAACACTTTTTTAGTTTGTTAGTTTTTTAAAAAACTAAAAAGCTAATAAGCTTTTTTTAAAAGCTATCCCAAACACCTACTAAGTGGGATTTCATCTACTTTCCTCTTACGATTTCCCCATCTATATTCTTCATTTTTTATTATTATTTATAATAAATTATGTAAGTTTTTTTGTTGTTGCTTTTGAGTATGATTTCTAACATCTCCCACTTTTTGTTTGTGTTTGTGTTTTTGTTAGATTTCGTATAATTACACCAGATTGTATATAAAATTTATGAAAAATTTGTTAGATTATCAACTTTTTGTTTGGATTTGTGTTTTTTATGTTTGTACTAAAATGAGTTCTAATATCAATTTGTTACACCTTGGCCAAGGCGGCGGAATATATCAGACTCTGTGATGTAGTTTATGGATCACAAGCAATTGGATATATAGCATAATGATACTTTTAAAATGACTAAAAAGTATTTTTTTTTTTCCTAGTAAGTAAAACCATACTTAAAAATGTTATGTAGAGAAAGAAACCAACTCCATGGTTTAGAGAGAGAGAGAGAGAGATCCACTTAATGTTTATTAGTCTTATAACCGAGCTATGTAACTGAAGTACCCCTACAAAGCTTCATTAGACATCTTAGAAATGGCTGAATATTGTAATCACCCGCTTCGACTTGACCTTCATGGTTGTAGCTAGCAACCGCAGGTGGCTGTCAACCTGTATAGATCTGCACATATGTGTCTCGCTCTAATGATTAACAGTTATAATGGTGTGGGTATACTAAGTGTTTATACTTAGGTAATTAATAGTGTCTCAATATAAAAGTCATTAATTAATGTACACGAATAACTCACCCTATCTTATATGTGGATAAGCATTTGGTGTGTAATGATCTAGAGTGAATACCCCTATCTTATATGTAGATAAGCATCCATGGCATAATGATTGAGAGTGAATAGCACTAACTTTTACATGGATAAGTCACTAGGCAAAATGATTTATGATAGATGGAGTTTTACTATAAAAGCCAAGTATATTCGATAACTATATACGTAAAGGTGTAGGATAGTCGCTTTAACAAAACGGTAAAACTCATGGTAGTATACATAAGTATATGTATAATTTTTAGTTATGGTGTAACTAAACATACATATATACATACATGATATAAGTTTGAAATACTATAATGTGATTTATGTTGGATTAATGTGTATAAGGTCGTAATTAAATTGGTATAATGTTGATGAATAAAAGTAAAGTTCTTTTTGGGTTGCCCTCATAATCAATAAATTGCCTAAATTGATTTTAGGAGAGAGATAAATGTTTTATTGATATATTATATGACTAATATATTAAGAGAAATTAAATATTTTCCTACATTTTATTCCTACTTATCTTCCGACCCTATAAAATGTTGACATGTGGCATATTTAATAACATATTTAATGAAATTGATAATATTTTAGTCCACTAGTCACCATTTAATGTGGGTAGGAGGATAGTAGGAATAAAATGTAGGAGAATAATATAGAAGTGCAAAACTAGGATTGTCAATCATGATTTTTGTTTGGGATATTGCTAACAGTTCAATGGAAATGGATAATATTCTTTAATATATATATATATATATATATATATATATATATATATATATATATATATTTCAAGCGGTTCGGTTTGATTATCTGCGGATACTTAAGTATCCAAACCAAAACTGACCCGTTGATATCCGGTTTTTTCAGTTTTGGTTTTTTCGGTTTCGGATCAACCGGTTCAGCTTGGTTTTACGTTTTTTTTTTGCACACCCCTACTAGTCATATATATAAACCCCCTAAGGGTTTACAATTTTTTCCATCCCTTTGTCTAAGAGTAGAACTGAAAATTCCTTTTCTCTCCTCTCTCGTATTTAGCCTCCATTTTGCTAGGGTTTCGATATGAGCCATTAAAGGCACGAGACTTCTGGTATTTGCTTTCTGAAGACCAACAAAGAAGGATTACTAGTTTATCTGCTATAATAAACTAAGGTATGAATTTTCTAATAACTCTTTACTAATTTTGAAAATAGCAACATACTTTCAGGGTTCTTGATATTTAATAGTTGTTTGCAAATCATAGTGAGAACATAGATCCTTTAGGGTGCATATGAACTTAACGTTTATGTTTTTCCGCTAAAATAAGGCTTTTGTAACATATAAAACCCATCAATTTTATGTTCAAATTAGGGTTTCTAGGTGTTTCCTAATCAGGTATAAATAGGGTCTTATACTTGGGAATTTTCGGCCACGTTATCATACATACCATATTCAAATTTTACATTGCTCCCCTTCTCCTAATTCTTCCAAGGTTCTTATGTTGTGGGTGTGAACCATTAGAGGCTTACACACAATTGAAGCTAGTTTTCAAGAGATTATTGGGTTGATCTAGTTGGGTCAAAGGGTTTGTTTACAATAACAAATTAGAGATATGTTATTCCTTTTGTGAATTTCGATTTTCATTATGGTTTAGAAGTTTTGTTGCTCAATAGTATGTTGCTTAAATAGAGTTATGACATAGATCAAATTAGGTTGCTTGTAACCTTAAAACTATAAGGTATTTTCCGCATTATTACATGTAAAAACAATCAGTTGTATAAGAGCATTAGGTTGTCTAACAATTGAATGTGCATAAATTGAACTTGAACAATTAAAGAATTGCAGAATCGTCATTCTATTGTTTCGCCACATCTTGGGCTCTTCTGCCACATTGTGTCAAATGTCTGATCTACATTTTTTTATCCTGCCACGTCATGGTCCAGGAGTGGCTCAACCATTTTAGAGGCTCTAAGAAAACAAAAAAATTGGGGCCCTTTAGGAAAGCAAATAGATTCGAACCTAAGACCCTTGGTTTGCTAAACCACCACTTTTACCACTAGGCCAAGCTACAACTTGTCTTTGCAACCCAGGAAATATGTATATATACATATATAATTAACATAATAAGTTTTAAAATTGGAGGCCCTTTAGAATTGGCGGCCCTAAGCCCTTGCTTAGTTTTGTAAAGCATAGAGCCGGCCTGATCGTGGAGATTTATTATGCCACGACGTGGGGACCTTCTGTTCAACGAATTTTTTTGGATGATTAAGATTTTGATTAGCATTATTACATTTGTAGATATTATTTTAATTGGATAAAATTTGAATTTTAAATTGGTAATCTGATCTCCTAATATCATGAATCTTTAAATTATCCTCATGATTTAATTTAATTTAATTATTTGGCTAATTAATTAAATGAAAAGATTAATTTTGAAATCATTAATATAATTTCTGAACATTATTTTAAATATTTAAAATACACCCTTATACTTATACTTATATATATATATATATATATATATATATATATATATATATATATATATATATATATATTAAAAGTTTAATACTATATGTAAAAAATGAGCTAGTTGAATTAATAGTAGACCTCATTCACGAAGTCATACTCTAAGGGGGTATAAGGAAATAGCTTATAAGATGATCGTCATTGGATGTCCACTCTCACCCACCGCTCATTTGTACGGTGGAGGATCGTTAGTCGAATGAATTCAATAGGACATAACCTCATTAAAAGTATAGTGCTATAAGCTAATAGATGTTGGGATTTCTGTGCATCGAATATACTCTAAACTAGGTAGCAGAAAAATCAAAACTACGATAAACCTAAGTGTACATGCAACCTATGGATCTATGGTTTCATGCTAATTACACCTACCATAGAAAACAAAAATACAAGGAAGAAAAACATACCTCTTATGTAGACCTTGATCTCCATGCTTGAGATCTTGATCCTTCATGAAGTTACTTGGATGAGAGCACACAAATCAGAATCCCTCTAATGGTATCACACTCGATGACACCAAAGATTGGAATAAAAATAACTAGGAGAATGGTTAACTTCACAAACCCAGAGAGAGTAAGAAATCGCCTCTAAGTGGGGGATGAAGAAGGGCTAGCGAAACTTCCAGCCAAGGTGCAAGGAAGAATGAAATCCCTAAGGCCCTATTTATAGCATTGGATCCCTTCCTAGGTTTTATACTCCTTCCCATGTGGGATAGGAGGCCAAC